TGTTTTCAAAAAATCCCTAAATAAATTATTAAATAAATTTTAAATAATTTCTAAATAATTTCTAAATATTTTTAATTTTAATATAAATTTAAAACTATATATTTTTATTTTTAAAAAAATTTATAATATTATAATAAATTCAAATTAATTTAAAATTATATTTTTATATAAATAACTATAAATATATGGGATTATTTTTTATACTAATATATATAGATTTTTTCATAAATAATTCATATAAATAAAAATCCGATTAAAAATTGATCTTAATAATTAACCATTAATATTCAATCATAAGTAAAAATATTAAATCAACTAAGATAATTGCTCCTAAAACTTAATAGGACTCCATTTTTATAAAAAAATTCTATTAAAACTCTTGTATATTATAAAAATTTCTAAATTCTAATAAATACTTAAAAAATCAAAAAGACTCTTTTATTTTAATATTTTTATATTTAAATAATCTAAAATTATATTTTTAGTATTTTCACCAATTATGATTTATTGATGGAACTTACAAAAGATCATGTAATAGTTACACCAAATTGGCTATTGTTAAAATCAAAAAGATTACAAACTCTTAAAACAAAACTAAGAATAAAAAAGACATTAATAAGAGTGAGAAAGAGCTCACTTCTATCTCTACATATATTATCTAACTAAGAGCTGGGTGGAAAATTCTAAACAACTTTTAAGATGTTTTCAACTTAAAAATGACATATCTACCTTACAAAACAAGTTCCATACATTTGCACCATATAACAAATTTATACCACAAATCACTACCATATGTGACACATGGCTAAGTGTCATGGACATGAATCTCAAAGAACCAAATATTCAATACACTCTTGCATAATTCAAAAATAATAGATATTCACTCAAAATTAATATAATATTGAAATTAGAATGACTATTGCTAAAGATAAGAAGAATAGAAAGTCTTGAAATAAGACTAAGGACTAAAAAGACATTAGCAAGAGTAAAGAAGGCTTCATTCTTGCTTCTATATATACTATCTAACTAGAAGCTAAATAAATTTATAACTAAATAAATTTTAAAATTTGAAAAGTGATGAAGTTAATTTATTTTATTTTAAATAATTAATTTAATTTTAGAATAGATTTATATTACAAATTTCTTAATTCTTTCATATAAAAATATAAATCATAGGAAAAAGAAAAGAAAAAATCTATACAAATAACTTACATAGAAAGAAAAATATCTTAGGTGCATTAAATCTTTGTCTAATAAAAATGAATAAATTCTAAAACAAATTTCAATTCACACCTCAAGATAAAAATGTATGGAGTTATTTCTAGTGCTTTAATCTTATAAATTATCAAAATATGCTTAATGTTAGTGACTTCTTTTTTATTCTATAAAATAAATTCTTGTATAAAGAAATAGATATGTATGCTTATAAATTCATTTTAATTCTAAAATAAACACATCTAATTTAGTAATAACACATTCTCTAAAAATTTTAAACCTACCAAAATTATGGTCTATAAAGTAAGTATACAATTACAAATTTTATTCAGTGAACTTCTATATTTTTATGTCTTTGGCAAATTGAATATATAATGATGAAATTTGTAAAATTAATTTTTAAAAGATTCTTTGATAAGATTATTAACACATTATATAATTGAAGCTGAGGAGAAATTAAATTATTGTATAAAACAGAAGAGGAATTTGGTTTTTTTTTCTTAAATGTTGAATTAGCATTTTTGGCTTGATTTGATTTTATGCATTGTTAAATTAGTTTGGAAGCTAATTGGTTGAAATTACAAGTCTTGAAACTTAAGAGTCTAAATTGAAATTTTTATTATCTTCAAGTTCTTTTTAATCAGAGCAATGTTAAATTAAGACTAAGAATATTCAAAGAAGCTATGTTCATGTGGTTGGTTTGGCATTTTAAGAAGCAGTTAATGAATAGAGAATAAGAATTAATCTTAATAGTATTGTTTGTTTTTTTTATTTTATTTTGTGTGCCTCATAAAATATATCTAATTAGATTATAGAAATGTTTTTAGGCCTATTGCAATTGAGATTAGAAAAAATCTACACTACACAAATTTGTCCATTTGTATCTCCTTTTGTGGCCAGGGAAGAGTAGAAAGGCATGAACCTGCAAAGTCAATGACAGTATCAGTATTGGCACAACCTAAGCTGTAAGAGTGGAATGAAGGCATATCCCATTTGTCTCCTCATGATATAAGCAAAGTGTACATGGGATGCACAAATATGCACACATGCTTATTAAGGCAAATGCCTCCTCTTCATGGGGTTCCCTCAATCTGGGGAGCAAGTTTGCACTGTGAGTCAGACACTGGCTCTTTTTTATCCTTAAATCTTGGTATTCATTGCTGAAGGTTCCTTTGCATGATCTGCTTGGATATTCCCACTTCCATTTTTGTCATCCATGGGCAGGCATTCAAAATCTCAGTTGCTTTGGGAAATTTTGTGTTGGTGTAAGCCATGCCACCTGCAGCACTGTTGCTGTGTAAATTAGGCAGCCTTCCACTTTGATTTTTGTAGTACACATGTTACACTATTTTTTCAGTTTTTGTTGCTTCCTTTTCACCCAACTTCTTTAGGGAATATGTGGATGGGTACAACAATTGGGTCACCTAAAAACAGGAATCCTCTTTTAAGTATTCAGCTTTACATGCCAATCCATCTTGTCAAGGGGCAAAGGAAAGTTGGGGACAGGCAAAAAGATCTTATAGACTCCTACATAACAATTGTAATACTTGATGTGCACTGTAAAAAATTATTTGCTAACAAACACCAGGAATGGCAGAATTTCATTCATTTAATTGGTGAAATACACATGACTATCAAGCTCACAAGGTCTATATGTTACAACAAAAGCCAAAGGAACATATCAACATTCATTCCTATGTTCTTTATTTTCTTTTGCACCAACGAGTCTCAAGATTGTTTCTCTTTTTTCTTTTTTTCGTTCCAACTTGCATTCCTAGGTTGATCATTGATATCCAGTAAATATGATCTCTTTTTCATAGCCATATTCTTCTTCATTATGGCTTGCTCAGTCTCCCCTATTACTAAAAATGCCAACTAATGTGTTGTGGAGAGAGAGAGGGGGGGGGGTGATATGATTCTGAATTGAAAGTCCAAGGTGCCTCCCACAGATACAGATGATTTTAATCTTCACTAAAATTAAACCTAAAATAATAATAACAACAACAACAACACCAACATGTTTTCTAGCATTTTCAACTTAATTTGAGTTTTATAAACTGTCTTGTCTTATCCCACAACCTGTCTCATACATAGCACTTAAATGTTGAATTCAAAATGGCTTAGATCTAATGTCCTTTGAGATGTTCGTGGCACACAATCAAGTAATAGAAAAAATTAATGTTTGCACAGTATATGAAACAAACAATTCCCCCAATCCATCCATGCCTCTGTCTTTTTGCTTTTCTTATGTTTATATATATATATATATAGATATGTATTTCTTTTTGGGGCATAAAGCTATGACCTTTCTGAAGCACTGTGTGGGTTATTGACAGGAATACAAAAGCATGACCTCAAAAAGAGGTGGGTGGACATGCTCCATCCACACATTCTCATGAACATGTGCTCCCAATGTGGAGCTTGTGGACCTCAGTGCACCTCATCACACAGTTCATCAGGCCCCCCCAAGGAATGACCACATTGTCCCTGCAAAGTCCACCACCCCCCTTGAAGAAATCCATCAATTGAACATGATGAGAGCTGAATGAAAGGGTGCAGTTGAAGTGGAAAATAGTCAAAAAGATCACAATCTGCTAGTAACAAAAAACCATAATAAATTACAAAATTATCTGCAGGTAAAAATGTATAGACCTATGCACATTAACTACCCAATACCAACATTTAAAGATGTGTGTCCAAAATGAATCCTATGCATATATGAAAAATAAAATAAAATAAAATAAAATGCAAAATTCATGATCACAAGTGAATCACAGAAAAAGCTTGTAGTGAACTGGAGATCAAAACACAAAAATCAAACAAAATCAAGCCCTTACTTACATTCAATACCCCTCAATGTGAACACAACAACTACAAATTCACAGACTCCTCTCAAGTCACAAAATTGTCAAAACATCATGATAAATACAAATCCCATCAAATCATACATCAACACTCCCATGATAAAATGCTGTGCAAAATGTGCTCAGAGGACATGACATGCATGCATGTTCATATACAAATCAATGTTCCCAGCCAACCTTGAAGACTCCACTCCAAACAGATCCCAAGTTCCACAACTACTGTGGCAAGAGGATGGCTTACTCTTGCTGGTTTAACAACTTTGGTTGTTCCTAAGACTCCAAATGGCTTTCATGTTGGTCTCCAAATGAATGAATGAATGCACGTGACCAGCAGCAATACTCGATCCAAGTTTGTCCGATTGGCCTTCGACGTCACGTGTGACCTCGGGCCAGCCTTGCCAAATGCCGAGCTCACACGCATTCTTCGTTCATTGCAAGGAGGGGGAGGTACTGATGATGTTCCACTGCGACCTGGTGTGTGTCCACGAACACAAAAGGGCCGTGCCCAAGCTGGACAGCGGGTGTGCTGAAGATGCCAAAGACCGAGTTGGAGAGTGGGTTCTTCGGCGATGCTATACCCGCCGTGCAGACTCGACAGCAATATATGCTGTTGCTGCAAACGAGAACAGATCTCGGCCTGCTCTTCAATCCAGTTGGACCCATTATCCTGTTCTTTTTGCTTTCCTGAATCCTGCCCCACCTCCCCGTCTGCCCAGCCCCACCGCAGCCGTAGCTCAAGAGATCTGCATTCGTCCGATTCATCCGCACATTCCAACGGACGGTGGTGACGCCTCTGTCGATGCGGAAGCAGACAGCTACGTCCTTTCCATCATCGTTTTGTTGTTGCGTCCATGAAACGACCGATTCCTCGCGTCTTCAAGTCTCCACTTCGGTTTCCTCGTTTTGTGTCTTCAGCTGTCTCCGATCATCCACCAGCTTGTAGTAGCTCGTGCGCACTATTATATAGTCCAGCCGGATTGCAGGCTCTCGGTGTGGCTGGAAGTAGCATCGCTCGGAGAGGCTCCACCAGATTGTGACAGGAAGTCGTCCATCGACGTGTGCCGTGGCTGCACGGAGAGTCATGATGCAGAGCGGTAGTCCCGGATATGATTGAAAAGGAGGTGGTCGTGGTTGGTGCGACTGATGAGAGGATTTGGGAGGGGTTTGCTGAGATCCAAGCGCTGCGGTGGCTTCAGCTTTGCAGGTGTGCGAAAGTGACTGCCAGCAACTACCAGCTTCCGAGCTCTTTCACGTCCCAGAAAGTCTCGTAAGGTGGCTGAGATTACGATGGCCGCTTGAGGTGGCAGCCGTGGTGCTGGATTGCTTGCGTTTCCGTTGTTCAACGATCGGGTTAGGATTTGTAGCTGGTTTAGTGAGGTGCAGGCCCTTGGAGGCAAGTCTTTTGGCACACCGTGTCCTAGCTTTGGACGTCAGTGATGTGCCCATCGAGGTTCTTGACTTTCGACCAGCGGCCAAGTTCCGGTGAAGCTTGATCGGTTTCGCGATCACGAGCTACATGTGATAACCGCTGTAGTAGAATCGGAGAGGAGGGTACGCCGAGGTCGGCGTTGGCAACCATGCGAGCTGACTGTGGGCCGCGTTGCGAGGTTCTCAAGGCCGCGGTGCTGGCGCAGGAGTGCGACTTCCGTCACTACTTGTTCAGATGCTTGTGTGCGTCGTAGAGCTACGCCGACGTCTTGAAGGCATCGGAGTGACGGGGGTGCCATCGCACGAGGTGACGGGACTGGTTTGCATCATGGTTGGGGTACTTTTGCTGTTGGTTTCGTGTATGATCAAAGGATGAAAACGTGTGATAAAAGCTGGAGATTCGGGAGCTCGCGGCTGAACAAGATTCAGAGTGTGTGAGCTTCAAGTTGCGCAGCAGTCACTGGAAGTATCTTTGCTGTGCAGCGTCAGGGTCGTCCGACAGAATAGTCCGAGACAGTGGGAGCGGAGAGTGTGATTTGCACGAGAAGTAACACAGAGATGGCAGCGTGAGTCCGAAACATCTGCCGTCCTGCTGGTCGGTAGAGCCGCCATTTCCTGCTCGGCGAGAGAAGTCGGTTGCATGGATAAGCAATGCGGATGTTGTGGACTGTTATGGTTGCGGAAGAAGGGCTCCGGGGGCGAGGGCAAGTGCTCGTCGAAGCCGATTGTGAAGCGCATATCGAAAGAGCACTTGCTCGGCAACTCGGCTGAGTTGGATGACAAGGCCGCGCACCAGGTGGTCCGGCAGGTGGCCAAGTTTCCTCCCACAAGCTACCGACCGCCTGAGGAGGAGCAGGTGGGCGAGGCTCATAGAGTGGAGGGCAGATTGTATCCGTTCAAGGAACTGCGAGGATCTCGCGCACCTCTGATTCTGCCACTCCTGAGAGCTGGCGTGAAGGAGACTCGCCACGAATTCCGGTCCCAGGTACGGGATCGCCCGCCGTTTGGTGTGCACGGTGTGGGTCGGTGCCGTCGGGTACCAGTACAGTCGCTACAGCTGGAATTGATTAAGCAGTCGTCAGTGTGGGCAAGTTATGAGGTCTGGTCGAGGCGGGTTGGGACCTGGAAAACCGACCGCAGCTAACGCGTTCTTTGCACGATTTTGTGACTGACGGGCCTCCGCATGTGAGTAACAGCGACTCGGGGTGGTGGTTATGGCGGGGTGGCGTGCAGGATGCGGAGGGGAACAAAATGGTGAACGAGTATGTGCGGAAGTGCAAGATCGGGACGGGGAGCTTCGGGAAAGTGGTGAGTACAGCGATGGTTTGGTATCGTCAATTCCGTGGTGTATTTCTGTTGGACGAGGATGCTGGCGGGTGAGTGGGACCAATTCTTGAGCTGGCAAGAGAAGGACTGAGTCGACGGGTATCGAACTGTGTGCAGGTTTTACACCAGAGCAAGAAAGATGAGAAGCTGTATGCAATCAAGGTAGCAGTGTATAATTGTGGGTTGCTATGGTCACGGGGTGGGCTGGTTTGATATTTGGGCTCAAGTAGGCGAACGGGCACATAGGTGAATTTTGCCACGGAGGTGTCGATATCTCGACGAGCAGCTTTGAATGGGCAGGGCATCCACTAATGACGGCATTGATGTGGATTGCAGATTGTCAACAAGTCGCGGCTTCGCAGGATGAAGGTTTCTCCGAGCGAAACTGCCATGATGGACGTTCTCCGGGAGGTGAGTATAGTCGGATGCTTGCAATGCAATAGTGTCGGGGCCTAATGTAAATGTGTCCGGATCCGAGTGCGACGAGGAGCCATGACCGTGTGTGGAAGGCGAACACGGGTGTAACATACCTCACATGTGCAGGGCGTGGAGTGGTGGTTTTGATAGACTCTGATTCAGGGTCGGCAAAACTTGTGACAGGTGGCCATTCTGAAGCGGGTGGATCATCCGAACGTAGTGAAACTGTACGAGGTAATCGACGATCCGAATAGCGATCGCCTCTACATGGGTGCGTGATCATTAGCCCGTCGTGAATGAATATAAGGCATGTCTGGTGTGCTGGTGCAAATTGGCATGTGTTGGTTCTTTAGGGTTGGTCTTTCCGGTCAAGGCGTCGTGGTAACACCCGACTGTGGCATTGAACGTCGAGGGTTGTGCAGTGATGGAGCACGTGGAAGGCAAGTCCATCTTCGAAGGTTGTGGATCCCCTGGAGGCATCGGCGAAGCTGCAGCGAGGAAGTGTTTTCGAGATGTGGTTGCCGGGCTTTCGTATCTACACAACCACGTAAGGGGTTGGTCGGTTACATCGCTGGTCTCGGTCATATCCATTCTCGATGATGAGTTGTGTTTGCCCTTGCAAAGCAGGCAGTGCGCGGTATCGCGTTCTGCATTTGAATGGGGGCATGGTTTTTCTGTTTCAGTCGGTTGGACTCACAAACACGTACAACATATAATGTCGCAGAACATCATCCATGGCGACATCAAACCCGAGAACTGCCTGAGGAGTGTAGATGGTTCAGTCAAAATATGCGACTTTGGTTGCAGCCGGACATTTGAGGTATGCTTGGCGATGCTTCGTGGTGCTGTTTTTGGGGTGGAGTCAGTATGTTAGGAGCTAGTAGGCGTCGTTTGTCATTGACTTTGCAGGAGTAGATGTAGGGTGGTAACGCCCTGCCGATTATTTGTTTTCCGAACAGGGAGATAATGACGAACTGTGGCGATCCCCTGGAACTCCAGTCTTCACAGCCCCCGAATGTTGCTCAGGTATGTAAGTCGTCGCTCTTCTGAAGCAAGTGTTTGTTGTTGCGATGGCCACCCAGCCCCGAGCATGAAGTCATCCTGGAGAGCCCTTGACTGGTTTGCTCCAGAATTATGGTAATGGATGGCGATTGAACTGGTCCCAACCTTGACAGGGCGGTGCAGCACTGATGGTAGGGGCGTGGGCATGTTACAGGCTTGACAGGGAGTTATTACCGTGGGCGGCAAGCAGACGTGTGGGCTCTGGGGTGCACTCTGTACTGCATGGTGATGGGGCGCTACCCGTTCATGGGCGACACACTCCCTTCCATCTATGAGAAGGTAGACGGAGTCGTGCATCGCCACTGCGTTGTGCACATGTTGCCAGCATATCGGTTTCGCTGGGATGAATGAGCTCCACATGGCGAGCATTTTCCCGGGGTAATCCAGGCGCTAACAGTACCACCGCCTCGTGCAGATTGTGAACCAGCCTTTGTTGGTCCCGGAAGCCACAAACCCGGAGCTGGCGGATTTGCTGAGAGGGCTTCTGTGCAAAGGTGAGATGGGGTTTGGAGGATTGTGGAACGGACGGGACCGGATCTCGGTGTGGAAAGGTATTCGGGATTGCAGGAATGCGCGATGTAGGATTTGAACATGGGGACATGCATTTGAGATGTGGTGGGTTTGAGTGGGTGCAGATGCAAGGAAACGTTTTTCATTGGCGGTAGCAGCCGCTCATCCATGGTCGACGCGCGGGTACGCGCAAGTGCAAGCAAGCTGTAACCCGACAGTGTACGAGGTGCAGCATCCATTTCCGGCAGGCGGGGCTGCATTGGCAGTGGGCGGGAACGGAAGCGTGGAGCTGGGAAGCGTAGTTTGATGGGGGAACCAGTTGTCATGCTGCACGGGGTGTAGAGGAGGGAACAAAGCGAGAGGATCCCAAGCATCAGGGTGCGCGTCTCAACTCCGTGGGGCATTCGGTTCGGAAGAGTACCAGTTTGAGATTCTCACGCCCAGTGCGCACTTTGTGTGGATGAGCGCTGAAGCAGGCTGGGTTGTCCGCGGGAAGGATTCAGTTTTGTTGGCGAAAGCGAGGAATATACAGATGGCCTGTACACTCGTGTAAGACTACATGCGCGCTTACATCCACAGCAAAGGTTTCTGTACACAGCGTAGGGGCGTAGTGGAAGCATTTGATGGTGGTGCATCCCAGAGTGCAACCTTGATTGAAGCATATGTTGGGTGGAGAGGAAACATGGACTTTTGGTACGTGTGGTAATGCGATGCGTACCCCCGAAGTGCGGACAAGTATGAAGGATGTGAAGGACACCCAATGGTGCAGCAGATTCGAGCAGTTGGGCTCATCGTAACTGACAGCCTGGTTTCCAGGTCTTGGTGGGATAGGATTGTAGTGCTTTGCAGAGTGCAAATGCATAACAGGTGAATCGGTATAGCCACCCTCTCATTGGCCCGACTTGTACAGAACACGTGGTTGGCAATTTGATAGTGCTGAAATTGCAAGCTTTATTGAAATCGTGGGTTATCAGTGACTTCTATCAAACTGAGCTTGAACTACATTAGAAACCAACCGTATGCAATTTTGTAAGCAGCATCAGGATTTGGAGTTGGCTCAAGGTTTGTCTTGGTGTTGGAAATGCCAGATTCCACAACCTAATGGTAGATCGTATTACATCGTGAAAAAGGGAAAGATTAAAATTAGTGGCATGCGTTCAAAGTTTGAGAATGCTGTGAATACTGCTGTGGGTTGTCTTGTATTGAAATGTGGATTTTATACAAGTCATATTGAAACCCACAAGCCTTTGGAGTTGATTCATGCATATTTTTTTTGTTTACATGCAAGTTCAGCCTGACTATATGTGTCATTCAAAGATTGTAAGATTCTAGAAATTAAAATGAGTTTGATAAGAAAGAAAAAAAAAGTGCTATGTAATATATACTTGTCAAACTTTGATATTAGTGTTGGTACTTGTAAACCATAAAGGAAAAATATCATATGTATCCTTGAAATATGTTGAAATATTAATCATATTCTTGTATTATTAATAATAACAAAAATATCCCTCACTTTTGTAATAATTGCAAATCTACCCCTTTGATTGATAAGATATTATCTTATTCCTATTTTAGGTGAATCCTAGGTCCAAAAATGTGTACCACTCACATTTTGGTACAAAACTTTTTTGCACAAGTAAGGCCTTGCACAAACCAAACTCCACTATTGCATTTGATGCCCCGATTGCTATTATCATTGCTATATTTTCTTTGTTACCTATGCTTGGCTCTATACATATGTGAGGAGTATAAGCCTCCATTCTCCATCTCACTTTGCTTGGAACTTTTACAAGTTCTTGCAAGGCTACGACATGGTTGGAAGTTCATTCATATTGGGAAAGAAATTGTGGTGGAAGATTTCTCTTTATTTCTTTTGAATATTCAAGTAGTCATTGTGAAAATAAAAGAGTGTAGAAGTTGTGATAGAAAAGAGAAAGTTACATAAGAAGATGTTTGGGATTGCAAAACTATAATTGTGCAATAATGGTGCAAGGGTGTGAGTGTTGATATTATCCTCATGGATAGAGGGACTATAACACTATTCTTTGAAGTTTAGCAACATTCTTTTTCTAGTCATAAGCTTAGTATGATCACAAGATTGGTGAATAAATAGATTGCTCTCAATAATATTTGTGGCCTCTAGGAGCAATGTTCTTGTACACATCTTTACAAAAAAAATTGTTGATCTTCAAAGCACTTAAAGGACACAGGTACAAGACTTTTGAAGTATACAATCCAAATTATTGGTATGTTCTCTATGCAACTATATTTCAATTTTCTCAATAATTGCTTCATATTCCAAAAACCAAGTTTCTTAGATGATAGTGTTAGATTCATGAGTTTTTATGTAGAAGGTTCATTGATTGTTATTACAAAACGACATCTCCATGTTGAGAGATAAAAAAATAAAAAAATAAAAAAAAAATGGAAGAAATTCTCCATAAACATTTCACTAAGTCCAACTATTATTTTTTAGGTTTTTCATCCTTTTTGATGATCTAGTGATCTTGTTGCTTAACCAATCTGTGCAAATTAGACTTGGTCAATGATGAGTACACAATTGATATCATGAAGATCTTCTTGAAGTGTGTATACAATATTCTAATGATGAAGGTTATTGATATGTTTGTGAAATCCTTGATATTACTTTAAATAGTTATAATGTTGATCAGTACAAAGAGTAATAGAAACAACTTGTTAAAGTAGTTGAATTTTTATCCTAGACCTTTTAAAAATCATATTGAGGAAATTTATTTTATTTCTTTGTAATTGTTGTTGGTGTTGATTTTAAATAATGTTGCTTAATGGCCCAACAAGAATAACATGGAAATTGGAGCTGCTTGGCTTCCATAGTAAAACTTAAATTTGCAAAGTTGTTAGAGAAATTGGTTTATTAGTACTTTAGTAAGAAGATTTCTAGAGATGGCTCATTTTTTTGCTTTATAAATCATACATATGATTTGTTTTTGAGGTTATTTTAGTTTTATACAAGATTAAAGTCATATGCCACATACATTTTATAAAATTAGAATAAAGTTATACCTTATTATAAAATTAGAATAAATTTATATCTTATTAAGTTTTAGGATAGATTTACAATTATTACAAAAATGAGGGGTATATTTGCTATTATCAAGAATACATGGATATTCTTGATATTTCAACATATTTTAGGGATATATATATATATATATATATATATATTATATTTTCCCAACTGTAAATTCAATGGAAAAAAAAAAAAAAAAAAAAAAAAATGTCAATCTTGAATTCTTTGAAAAAAAATTAAAAGTTATGGGGTTTTGATGAAGGTTGTTGAGCTGAAGCTTGGAGGTGAAAATCTTCACTTGACATCTGTATGAATGTATGTATACACCAACAAGGCTTTCATATTCACCAACAATATTTTTTAATACATGTTCAATTTTGAATATTCATATTTATGATACTATTTTTATCAAGTTATAGATAAAGTCACATCCATCATTAACTTATCAAGGAAGCATTGATTTCAAGATGAATGAAATATTTTAAATATTTAGGTCAGTCTAATGGTTGAAATATTTCATGCAAAAAGCCTAGCCAATTTTAAATAAATGTTGTCACAAAATATTTTCAGATTAGTAATTAAATCTTGGTTATAAATTTTTAACTTATGTGAATCATGTTTGAGTGATATATCAATATGTGTGTATATATATATGTATATAATGACTTGGTATGTTATAATTGAGTAATGGTAATTTTAAATAAGTGTGTGAGAAGAACAATCTGTTTATTGTTTTCTTCCTGTTTACTTTCTGAAATATGTACATAGACTCAGTTTTTTAAAAAGAATTTGTAGTAAACACACTACGTATCTAAAAACATGGGATAATAATATCTAGTAACTCAATTGGTAATTTTTCTTTTATTAAGAAAAATAAGTTTTTTTTACATCCAAAATTAAAAGAATACTTTACACATATATGTATATGATTTTCAATATAAGATTTTTTGATATAAAATATAGCAAAGAGGAATTTTTAAAAGAGACAATGGTGTCAAGATTCTGAAGACTCAAGAACTTTAACTCAATTTAAATGTAACTTATAAATTTTAATCTTGCATTAAAAATAGAATTCGATGAAAAATAAAAAATAACCACTAAATCTAATAAAAGATGTTTCAGATTTTAAATTTTTCCAAAAAAATATTTTAAAGATAAAAAAAAAAAATGACTTAGATATTTCTACAAGATTAACAAAGTTTTTAAAACTTGTGAAATATATATTGAAAAGTTATAGAAATTCGAATAGATTTTTGAAAAGGTGATAAAATATCTAAACAAAATTTATAAAATTTCAGAAAATTTTAAATGGGGATTGCAGGTGTATTTATATATATATATATATATATATATATATATCTCTGTGATATCACTACTTCTTTTAAGCAATAGATTTTTAAAAATTTTTAAAAAATCAAACTTGTTTTTTCAAAAAAAAAATAAAAAGTTTTTTTTTCAAACCCTGTTTTTTTTTTTTTTTCCAAAAAAAAAAAAAAAAAAAAAAAAAAAAAAAAAAACTCAATAGTTTTACATCCCAATTCAACCAATTACTATGGCTGTAATTATTTTTAATTAATGAACTCATTTCAGTAACTTGGTTTGAATTGAGGCTTGTAAAACTTGAAAATTAGCGTCTCAACCATCAAGTTTGAACATATTCCAATAAGTCATTCTAAAGTCACAAAGACTTAACTTGTAACAGAGAGAGATTATTATTGTTGTTCAAATCATTCTATTTTTCTTCTCAAGCATTTCTTTTATAGTGTAACTTTTTCAAGCAACTTTACTATTGTAATCTACATTGTTTAGTCTTTGTCATTTTTTTAAATAAATTGGTTTTGATATATAAAGATAATACTTGTAGAATTTATCTATTTTATTAGAAAAATAAAATCTATTAATAGATTTAAAAATTTTATTTCTTAATATTGCATGATTTTTATACATCAAATATTTAAAAATATATATCTACATATATACATATAGATATATAGGTATAATCATTGTATTAACATAAAATTGATTTTAAGTTTTTTACATATTTAGCATAAGTTAAATTTGGATGATAAAAAAATACATTATAAAATCTTCTCCAAGTATGTTTCTATTATCTTTGATTCAAAAAGATATGACTTACTACAATGATCATGATTGGAAATTAATACAATTTTTTAAATATCAATTTCATGCTTTGTCTTTAATCAATTCTTATACTGAATTTTTTTATCCAATCATCTTATAAATTACTTGTATTTTAATCAAGATGTCACTCAAAAATATGTTTCATATGTTCAATTTATCTACTTAATTATAGGTGGTTTTTGGTAGAATTCTATATTTTATGTCTAGTATTTGAAATATATTAGAAATCACTCTTTAAAACATTAGAAAATGATTTATTATTTATCATAGCATAATATTTTTAACCATTATTAAATTATTCTTTAAAAAAATTAATTTAAAATTTAATAAAATAGTAATTAAAAATATATAAAATATATAATTAGTATTTTTAATTATAACATAGAATAATTTTTAATAAACAAAGATTGGATAGTTAAAGTATTGTATTAAATGAAACTAATGCATTTGTACTATTTATATTTAATTTATATATGTTATAAATATTTTAAAAATTAGGTGTATAAAATATATACTTACAATCACCAAAAATATAAATTAAATCTCTAAAACATCAAAAGGTCTTAAAATATAACAGACCAATATCAAAGGATCTAAAGCAAATAATAAGGTGACTTAAAAATATTGTAAAACTTAAGAGACATATGATTCCAAAACTCTCTATACTAAAACCATCATCTAACTTTATGTGTTTATTTTTACTATAATGTTCACCATTTAAAATATCTTCCTTTTTGAAGCACTATTAGAATTTATGGAATAGCTACTATTGAGTATTTTATTAACACTCTTTTAATGACAAAAAATATGCTATAAAAATAAGAAAAATAAATAAATAAATAAATAAATAATTAAAAAAATAAATAACTTATTAATTCTTAATTAAAAATAATAATGAATAGAGATAAAAAATTACATAAATTTTAATAACTTTATTTAACTTTATAATGAAGTAATTATAATTATCTTCTTTTAGATATAGATAGGTATCATACAATAAATATATTATGAAATAAGTAATTAATTATAATTCAATCATATTAAATATAAAACATAATTTTTTTTTTTATCTATTATGCATTATTCAGT